TATAAAACTATCAACGGCTCCCCACTGTCCAAAGGAAAGGGTCTCAGTTTGCCGGCCTGGCCTCTGCTAACCATGGTCCTTCTCACTCCCAACACACACCTCCCATTGGCAGTTTCTGGCTTCTGGGCCTTGCTTCTGCCATCCCCTCTGCCTCAAATACCATTTCTCTTGTATCAGCTCAAGAACTGTCTCCTCGGGCGCCTGGGTGGCTCAGTCGTTAAGCGTCTGCCTTCGGCTCAGGTCACGGTCCCAGGGTCCTGGGATCGAGCCCCGCATCGGGCTCCCCGCTCGGCGGGAAGCCTGCTTCTCCCTCTCCCACTCCCCCTGCTTGTGTTCCTGGTCTCACTGTGTCTCTGTCTGCCAAATAAATAAAATCTTTAAAAAAAAAAAAAAAAAAAAGAGAACTGTCTCCTCTGGTGAATCTTTCTGAAATCCCAGGCTGGATAAGATGCCTTTCCTGGCTCTTACCCACCGCAGTGGGCCCAAACGAGCTGTTCATTTATCTGTTTCCCCCAACAGACTGTGAGTTCTTAAGCAGGGATTGTGGAAATGAACCCTAAATGAAGTGGTGGCTGGGGGGGGGGGAGTGTGGTCTGGACCCCCACCTAAAGGGCAGGGCTGGGGTGGGGCTCACATAGTCAGCCAGGAAGGCAATGCCGTTGGGGAAGCGCTTGGGGTCGGGCACCAGGCGGCCTTTAGCGTCACGTCCACCAATCCAGCAGTCGTCCATGTTAAGGTATGTGTAGCCTAGGTCCCGCCATCCATCCTGTGCCAGGTGGTCGGCCATCTCCATGAAGAGCCGCTCACTGGTGATAGGCAGGGGATGGGGCAGCTCAGTCACTCCCCACCCCCTTCTTAAGAGCTTTTCAGACTTCTCAGATAATCTGAGTGTGAATCCAGGCTGTCAGAACCATAATCATGGTGGAATGAAAGGAGTGGCTGGGCCCCCAGGCTTGCAGGACTGAGCTTTCACAGTTATCTTTCAGTGACCTCAGGGTCTGGGTCCACCATAACGCCCCTGCCCCACAGGCCTGATAGATCCCACAGAGGCCCCAAGCAGGTCACAGGCTGTCTCGGATGTCCCAAAAGTCACCTCTGGCTGCATTCTCTCTGGAATGGGGTGGTCTCACCCTGCCTTCTTTTCTAGCTGACCCTCCACTCTCTGCCCCCACTCTGCTGGGTCTAGGGCAAGGCTTGGGAGGTGGCGGGCCTTCCTCACCTGATGCAGTTCTTTGGGTCCTCGTCACAGTCGGTGTTGCAGCGAAAGCGTTCCCAGGCCAGCCAGCCCATGGGTGGCTTCCGCAGGAGCCCATTCTCTAGCATCAGGACCTGGGCCACCAGGGCCAGCAAGACCACTGCAGGGCGGTTGGAAGGATGACTGTCAGCAGCTCCCATAGCCCCAGCCCTCACGCTACCCCATCCGTATGCTGTTCAGCTCTGCAGAGGCCGCTGGCCCTCACCTTAGGGGAACCAGACTCCTGGGCTTAAGGTAGAACTAGCTCTTCCTGCCACTGCTGGCTCCTGCCGTCTCCGTGAGGGGGCTCATGGTGCCTGGGGCAGGGCAGTGTGTTTGAGGCCTGAGTCCCCACTTGCTGTCCCCACAGCAGTGCTGGAATTCGTAAAAACTCACGCCTGAGGTTGTGTCCTTTCTATACCCTGACCAGCTCCCCCCAGTTTGCACAGAACTTGACAGAACACGGTAGTCAGACTCCAGGTCTCCCACCCAGAGCTCTCCACCACAGACCCTCCCCAAGAGGCCTCAGAAGGACGTAAGGGGTCAGCCAGCTTGGACCCGCACCTAGCCAGCTCACCTGGGTGGACCCTTGCCCCCTCGGGCCTGTTTCCTTGTCTATAAGATTAAGTTCCTGTACTGACTTAACAGGGCTGTTCTCTGCCGTGTGGATAACACATAAAATAGGACCTCTGCACTTTGAGGAAGAGAGAACATGAAAGGAAGTGGCCTCTTTGGAGGGAAACTGATTCCTAGGTGGGGAGGATCTCCTTTCTGGCCCAGCTCCAAGAATGAGAGGAACCCGTCTCCCCACATACCCACATCAGGGAGGGAGGCCCAGACACCAGAGGGCTGGAACTTCCTCCAGGTAGCCCCTACCCCCAACCCTCACCTACCCTCCCCAACCACCCCCACCCGCATAGCTACCTGGCTTCTGCAACATTGCTCTGGACTCGGCGTCTCGGGGCCTGACCAGATCTGCTCTGCTTTTACCAGCTTTATACGTTGGACTTTGGAAGCTACGAAACGTTAGAAAAGCACTGGGGTCACTACTGCGTCGCTGGCTCCGCCGCCCTCAGCCTTGGGCGTGGGGCCCCCACTCCGTCCCGAAGTCGCCCTCGTTGCCCACCACCCCCGGCCCCCAGCCATCACTTCCCCGAGCCTGGGGATCCCTCACAAATACCAAACAAGGTGTCTCAGACGTTAGACCCCACCCTCTCTGTAGTGCTGGGAGCCCCCAGCGCCCACGGGCGGTCCTCCGCCGGCCCGGGGCCACAGAAAGGCAGCGATCGCCTCTGGGACGCCGAGGAAGAACCGAGGCGTCGGGTTGGGACCAGGCTTCGGACTCCCACCGGCTCTGGGTCACCCCCCGGCCCCCAAGGACCGCAGCCCAGCAGCCCCAGAGCGGGGACCCTCCCCCAGAGTGCCCCGCTCACGGAACTCACCCTGCGGACGCCCACAGAACGCCACTCGCCGCCGCCTCTGAGGCAGCCGACCGAGGCTGCAACCCGATTTGCCCACTGCCTTCCAGAGGGGGCGGAGCCTGACGGCGGCACGCCTTCCCCGGCGGAACCTATCAGAATCCCCCTAGCAACGTCGCGTCCCGCCCCCTGTGGGCTCAAGAAGCCCTCCCCCGAACCTCCCAAAGCCTCGCCCCCTTCGAGCTCCGGCTCTGAGCCCACCTGGGTACCACGGCTCCCGCAGAGGCTAGTCCTTTCACTTCTGCGGGGTCCCTGAAGGCAAGCATAGTGCCCGGCACAATGTAGACGCTTAATAAATAGTATGGCGTGAATATCTGCTTTATTAAAAGGAAGTGAGGAAATGCCATGAAGCACGACCCAAAATAAGCCACTCAAAAACGGTAGTCGAGGATGAATAGGCATTACGACAAAGATGGGTGGGGGAGAGCAAACGAGGTGTAGGGCTCTGTTTTTGCAAAGCCAGGAGACTCTCCTCCCCTACCTGACACTCTGGGCCAGCCACCGGTTGTACTGGCCCAAGCACTCGCTCTGCATATTCCTTCTCTTTCATTCATCAAATATTTACTGAGCAACTACTAGGTAGGCGCCAAACATTTTATTCTCGGCACCTTCGCTTGGATGGTCACTGGGCATCTCAAACATAACTGGCCCCAAACCGAACACCGAAGACCTTCCATTTCTCAGGTAACGGCAACTCTCCATGTGCTCAAGCCAAAACCTTGGAGTCCTCTTTGCTACCAGTTTCCCTCACTCCCCACATCCAGTCTTTTGGCAAAGCCTGTTGCTCTCTACCTTCAAAACCCACCTCTCGTTACGCTCCCAGCAACCATCACATCTTGCCTGGATTATTGGTTGCAGCATCCTTGTCACCCATCGGCTTCCACCTGCGTTTGTTCTCTCCACAGCAGCCAGAATACTCCTTTAAAACACAGCTCAGGTTGGGGCACCCGGGTGGCTCAGCAGGTTAAGCCTCCCATTCTTGATTTCAGAGGGTCGTGAGATAGAGCCCAGGGTTGGGCTTCTGCTGAGCATGGAGCCTGCTTGACATTCTCTCTCTCCTTCTCCCTCTGCCTCCTCCTCCCCCCCCCGGCGCCCCTGCTTGCTGGAAGGCTCTTTCTCCCTCCCTCGCTAAAAAAAATAAATAAAAAAAATAAATAAAAAATAAAACATAACTCAGATCACGCCTCACTCCAGACCCTGTGATGGCTGTTCATCCTAGTCTAGAGACTCACAGATTTACAAAGCCCCGCCCACATATTCTGACCCCATCTCCCACTGCCCTAGCCCTCCTCCCTGCCTCCCTGCCACACAGTCCTCCTTACAGTTCCTCAAACACACAACAGGTCTCTTCCCTCTGCCTGGAATGCTCTTCCTAGAGATTCTGGCATGGCTGCCTCCCTTATTTCCTTCCAGTATTTCTCAAAGGCCACCTTCTCAGTGAGGCCGACCCTGACCACCCTGTTTGAAATTGCAACCTCCCTACTCTAGCAGTTCCCAAGCTCCCTGACTCTCCTATATTTTCCATACCACTTATTCCCTTCTAACACATTGATTATGGTTTCTATTATTAACTGAATAAAATTTAGTGGAAGAGACGGATAACAGGAAATAAAAGCATGAATATAGGGAAGTGTCTATAGTGGCTAGTGCTGTAATGAAAGATACAGCTCAGGGACGTGACAGAGACTTGAAGGTAGGCTACTTTCCTTCGCCTGGTCAGGGACCGGACGTCTGAGCTGAGACCTAGTTGATGTGAAGGAGCCGAGGGGTTGGGGCAAGAAGGAAGAACACTCTAGGCCGCAGGAAACAGAAAAGGCTAGAGCTCTGAGCTGGGAACCGCCAAGTTCGTGGGCAGATATTCCGACCTCACCGCTTCCAGAGGCCGTCGGAACCCTAGCCTCCGGCGTGTGGTTGAGCACTCCTGCAAACTTCACTTACAGCTTACCAAACAGACCGACTCCAGGCACAGCCTGGGGGCCGCGGGTGGGTGGCAGGCCGCTGGGAGTGGCGGAAGCAGAAATGGATAACCCCCAGAAAGAGAGGCGAGAATCTCAGGGGCCGGCTGGAGTCGCCAGGAAGCTCGGCCGGGCCTCGCGGGCTGGAGAGGAGCCCGCCCAGAGGAGGCGCCGGGCCGAAGCCGTCCCAGGCTTGGCTCTGTGGGAAAAGTGGGCTGGGCGGGATGAGGGGGCTGGAGAGGGGGAGAGAAGGACTCCGTGTTCTCCCGGCGGTGGGCTGGGCCCGAGGCCCGCGGACGGCCTGCGGTGGGGCCCTGGGTTCGAGGTCGCCCGCCGCTGACCAGCTCTGTCCGGGCCTCCCGGGCCTCAGTTTCCCTCCCGCGTGGATCCAGGGGCGGCTTCGCGGACCGCCCGGTGAGCCGCGGGAGGGGAGAGGAGGGGCGGGGCGGGGTGGTAACTCGAGGCGCCCGGAAGGGGTCTCCCGGCGCCCGCGGCCACGTTCCGGCCCTGGCGGAGGCCCGGGGTCCGGAGCCGGGATCGCCCCGAGCCGCGGGCTCAGCCCACCCCGCGGGCCGCCCTCCTGGGCGTCGGCGCGCCCGGCGGCGCGGAGGTGAGCGCGGGCCCGGCGGGCTCTGGAGGAGGCGGCCCCGGGAAGGCGTGGCCCGCGGAGACGTGGCGGGGCAGCCCCACTGCGCGGACCCGGAGACTGAGGCGGCAGCCGCCGTTCTGCGGCGCGCGCCCGGGGGCTCCCAGGGAGGCGACCGCTGTTTTCCGGCGGTGGCGGGTCAGGGGCCCACGTCCCGGCCCGCCCAGCTCCTCTAACAAAAAGAATGTGGAGACACGCGGTGTACCGGCCCCCCGCGGGCTGAGCGGTCCGGGTCCCGCACCCCTGGGAGGGTGGGGGCCGCGGCTGCCCCCCCAGGCTCGCGACCCTGGCGGGGGCACTGCGCCTTCGGGCCCGGAGCCCCTCTCCGCGCGCGGGTGCCGGGAAGACAGGGGTGAGGCCGACGCCAGGGCGGACCTCAGTGAGCACCCCCCCCCCCCCCCCCCCCCCCCCCCCCCGCCTCCCGCGACCGGCCGCTGGCATGGCCCCGCCCCCGTGGGCCCCGGCGGGTTTCTCTCCATAGGCTTTATCGTGACCGGTCCTTACGTTACTTCTTTCTTAATTTTCCCATTCATTTATTATTTATCTTTGTCTGCTCACAGTGTGTCTCCCCGCTGGAATGTAGGCTCCACGAGGGACGGATTGCTTTGTCCATTGTTGTATTCTTGGTTATTTCAATACTTTCTGAGGTCCTCTTTCTGATGGGCTGGATATTGGAGGTTACACCGGCAGCCAAGCTGAGTCCCTCCCGAGAGGAGTCCTGCCCTAGACGTTCGGGGGGCTGGGGAGAGTGCTGTAAACACAAAGGGCATCACGGTGGGGCGAGGGGGGGAAGGAAAGGAAAACAGATGTGAGGGGCTGCTGGTTGGGTCAGCTTGCGGTCAGGAGCACCAGCGATCAGGGCAGGCCTCGCAGATTAGATGAGGGGCCCACAAATAAACGGTGGGATGTGCTAAAAGGGAAAGGCAGGAAGCCGAGGGCACTTAACTCTGACCTTGCCTTTTGGGGGATAGGGAACTGAGCTCAGCAAAGTGATTGTCATTTGCTCGGGGGGGGGGGGGGGGGGGGGGGGGGGGGTTAGGGAGAGTATCAGGGGGTCAGGGGAGGCTTCCTGGCGGAGGCGGTGGTTGAACGGGGCCTCTAAAACTGAGTGGGAGTTCTCATCCTTTAAGATGCGGTGATGGGGTTTGACAATTGTTTTGCAGGCGCCCTAGGAACCACAAAGTCAAAGGGCTAAGCCAGGTGGCTGGACAGGAGGCCCTCGCCCTCTTGCTGTGAACTCTGCTGGTAAGTGGGTCCCTGCCGAGACTCGCCCCCAGAAGGTGTGAGGGAATCAGGAAACCAAGCTCTGCTTCTCACTGGTCATGCGGTCTTGGGCAGTTCATCCTCGCTGCTCTGGGCCTCCGTTTTTCACGAGTCAGGAGGACAGTTGGATTAGGTGCCACTTATGATCCGTGGGGTACCCACATTCAGTGGTTGGGGTTGGTCCTACGCAGCCGTGCCCTGTGTTCGTACCACACTCTTGTTTGTTTAGTGGTCCCCGTCTAAGCGCCCCCAGGGGAGGAATGGGGCCGGCCTGCCCCAGCCTGCTTTCATCTGGCCCCAGAGGCCACACATTCTTAACTATAAAGGATAACTGTGCCGTTAAGGAAGGAGAGAGAGGCGGGCAGGGGCCCAGGAGGGTCACAGAAACCTTGGGGGTTTGGCCTCAGGGTTGGAGCCAAGGGTCCCCTGGATTAAGGGATGGTTTAAGCACAACGATTTCTATGGGTTCGGGGTCCATTTCGGCTCAGCTGATGCTTTTTTTCTTTGGATGTTAAAAAGCTGTATCAAACCCCTCCATTCCTTCTGGTCTGGGGCAGTCGCATTGTCCTTCTCTGTGAGTCCTCTGCCGTCCAGTTTTTTGCATGCCCCTCACCCTTTGAGAGGAAAGGCAGGGACACCAGCCCATTTCACAGATGAGGACACTGAGAGCCTCGGGGCACACAGCAAGTGAGTAGAGGCCTCAGGGAAGGGGCCCAGGTCTCCTCCAGAGCCAGCGTTCTTTTCCCGACAGGGGCAGAGGGGCTGCTTTCCTCTCTGACCTGTGGCCCACCCATCTCCCCTCACAGTTCTTATGGGAGCCATGAAGCTGAACGAGAGGAGCGTGGCCCACTATGCACTGAGCGACTCCCCGGCCGACCATACGGGCTTTCTGCGCACTTGGGGCGGGCCAGGGACTCCACCGACCCCCAGTGGCACTGGCCGAAGGTGCTGGTTTGTCCTCAAAGGCAACCTGCTCTTCTCCTTTGAGAGTCGTGAGAGCCGGGCCCCGCTGAGCCTGGTGGTGCTGGAGGGCTGCACAGTGGAGCTGGCCGAGGCTCCCGTGTCTGAGGAGTTCGCCTTCGCCATCCGCTTCGACGCCCCTGGTGTGCGCCCACACCTGCTCGCGGCCGATGGGCCCGCGGCCCAGGAGGCCTGGGTGAAGGCACTGTCCAGGGCGAGCTTTGGCTACATGCGCCTGGTGGTGCGCGAGTTGGAGAGCCAACTGCGCGATGCCCGCCACAGCCTGGCCTTGCATCGCCACTCATCCTGGAAGGCCGCTGGCGGCCACTGTAAGCCCCAGGCTCCTGACCACCGGTCTCTGGGCCTGGAAAACGGTCACTCCCCCTCCAAGGATTGCAGCCCCATGGACTTGGTTGAAGAAAGGGGCAGCAGGCCAGCAGGGCAGGGCTTGGCCGAGTGGCAGGGCCCTGCCAGCCACTTCCTAGGCAGGAGGCAGAGCCCCTCGTTCCCTGAGACCTCCTACTTCTCTACCCTGCACAACTGGTACGGCCAGGAGATCATGGAGCTGAGGCAAAGGTGGCTGCAGAGGGTCTGGGGGAGCCAGCCAGAACGTGAGAAACAGGACGGGCCCTGAGCCTCAGCCTTTCGGGTTCCGCCCTTATCCTGCTGGTCAGGACTCCGGGGCCAGTGCTTTTTCAGGAATTTAATGTTTATTCGGTTTAAAGTTGCTTTTTCTGAGAGGATTCTTTCCTTCCTGCTCTTTAGAACTTCCCCAGGTTCCAGATCCATCCCCGTACCTGGAGGGGACTGAGGAATCATTCCTTCCAGCCCATTTATTTCCTGAGGCCCAGAGAGGAGAGGGGGCTTGCTTAGCAGCGGTAGAGCCAGACCCAAGTCTCCTGCCGCTGTGCTGGACTGCCCCTCTCTCAGGGAATACGAAGGGGAGGCAGGAAGTGGGGACTATCACGTGGCCATAGACTGCCGTGCGTTTTTACCTACACACCACAGACTCTACAACCACAACTTCCTACACTGGGAGTCTTGTGTACACTTAAATACCAGAAGTTGGCTGAAGTGTTGGCTCGAGGGATTGACATCGTCAGAGAAAGTAGATTTCTTGTCCTGGGGGTTTCTGGGGCCCAGCTCTTCCTGGGTGGTGGGGCATAGGACCCCCACTCCGCAGTTTGGGTGGGACCCTTTGGAGGGAGAGGTCCTTCAGCCAGCAAAGAGGGATTGATTCTGCTCAGAAAGTGTTGGGGCCTCCAGCTTCTCTCCCTCGCTGCCCTGTCTATAGATGGTGCTGGTCATTGCCCCAGGAGGGGCTGGTGGCAGAAATCCTTCCTGTATTCTGTCCTTAGAAGCTAGCTCCTGGAGCTGCCACTTGGGAAGCTAAAGGAGTGGGGAGGCAGTGGGGCTCCTTGGGGAAGCCAGGTCGTTATTTTGGTTCTCAGTCCCGGTCATTCTAGGAGCTTGGACACGGGATTCCCAGCACCGTGTGATAAACTCTTCTCTCCTAACTGTACTACTCCCAACGAGCCGTTCCTGATCCTGACCCTGGCCTGGGAACTCATTCACCGTCCTGCGCGTCAGCCAGTGCTTATCGGCCAAGACCCTCTCATTGCCACTCTCAACAGCAGTGGTGCCAAGTGTTTTCTTTATTGATCGTTTAGGGAGGCAAAGTGGCTGGATGGAGAGAGCCAGGAGCCAGACTAGCCTGAGCCCTGGGGGTGTGGCAACAGTGGCTGGACGAAGATGCAGAACCTGGTCCAGACATCCCCCCTCTGCCCGCACACAGTCTGCCCCTTCTTAGCCTCTCCAGCCCTCATTAGGACCTTGGGTACCCTGCCCAGGGCCCCACTAGGTCAAGAAGCTTCGACTCAGCCTCGGAGTCCAGGACGCCGAGAGGCCACCAGGGTCCGGAACCCATTCCCGCGGGCTTGTTTCCCAGCGCCATGCAGGAGCCCACAGCCCACTGCGCCTTGTTTTATACACAGATGCTACAGGCTCTTGTTATCGTTTTTTTACGGTTACAATGGTGTTTTTTTATACGATTAAAACACTAAGTCTTTATTACTCACTTTGGTTCCTCGTTTATTTGAACAATCACTTGACCAATTTTTGCGAAAGCCCCCCTTCCCCCTTCATTTGCCTATACATAACGCATACCTTGGCAAGAAATAAAATTACAAAATCATGGGGCGCCTGGGTGGCTGAGTCGTGAAGCGTCTGCCTCCGGCTCAGGTCGGCGGGAAGCCTGCCTCTCCCCACCCCCACTCCCCCTGCTTGTGTTCCCTCTCTTGCTGTGTCTCTCTCTGTCAGATAAATGAAAAAAAAAATTACAAAATCATCCAGGTAGTACAACTAATAGGTTTGAAAATAAAAAAAGAAAAATACAACTGTTTGAGGGTCGATGAAAGTGACCTCTCTGTTCAACAATCACCGGCTCTGCCCAGCCCGGGCGCTCCACGGTGAGGGAACAATGGCGGAAGAAAGAAGGCTCCACCGGGACCGCCCGCCAGGCCCAGAACCAGGGGGCTACTGGGGCGTCGTCCCCCTCCTCGTGACGTCAGCACGTCGGGCAAGTGACAAAGGCCTCCTTCGCACAGGAACTAGGCGCACTGCGCAAGTGTGCGGGCTGGGCCTCGCGAGGGTTGGGGCGGTGCGCTTCCGGAGGGCGTCACAGGGGTCGGGTGGTGGGGTCCGGGTGCCGGCCTAGGGGCGGAGCTGGGAGATGGCGTTCGGAGCGGCTCGCCGGCTGGCTTTGGCATCCGTCCGATCCGGGGCTTTCCGGAACGGACCGAGCTTGAGGAAAGGTGGCGATGTCTCCGCCGGAGCGGGTGGCTCAGGCCGGAGCCTGGTACCGTCGAGGTCAGTCATCGTTACTCGCAGCGGCGCCATTTTGCCCAAACCGGTGAAAGTGAGTGTCTGCCTGGAGGCGGGGCGAAGGGGCTGCGGCCAATCATTATGGGGAGTGTGCGCGGGTCGACGCTGACTGATAGGAGCAAAGGCCAATCGTACAACCGCCTTAGACCGGAAGACGGATCAAGGACAAAGTTAAGCAGTGATGCGCTGCTTATTTTGACAGGTGGGAGGAAATGGGTCGGATCCCGGTATTGAGTTGGGCGCCCGGAGACAGAGGATGGGGGGTGAGAGCTGAGAAAGACTGCACTTCGCACTAGTTCTTCGTGGGGAGCGTGGTGCCCTAGTTCTCGGGGCCACAAGACTCGGCTTTATGCGTCCAGTGTAGACAGATCCCGTAACCACTCCGTTCTTGTCTACCTCACAGTTGGTGGGATGGAATAATGAGTTGTGAAGGGGCTTCGTAAATAAAGGGTACGTGGGACAGACCTTGTATTTTTGTGAGTTTTGACCTAGTACTTAATTCACGTTATTGGCAGTCCTGAGAGGTGGGCAGGGAATTATTACGATCACAGTTTGTACAAATGAAGTCGGGCCAAAGCAGTGAAGCCGTGAGGCTCCAAAGCTAGCGGCGACTTAGGGTCTGGAATCCAGGTTTCTGGCTGGTACACCCTCACCCCCAACCAGGTCCTATTTTTTTCCACCACTGAATGCTATCACATGTCCTGAGTACCCTTGGGTTTTTCTAAGTAAAATGGAAACAGTCCCTTACACCAAACAGGTTTGCTCTTTGACTCCAGGGCCGTGTGGGAGTTAACAAAACAAAAACAAATTCTCTTAAAGCTAGTGTGGTCAATGCTAGCTCGCACAGACGAGTGAGTTCAGGACTGTTTTGTGGCAAGAAGCAGGGTCCATATTGGGGAAGAGCTGCCTTATAAAAAGGCATAGCTGGAAAAAAAAATTTTTGAAACTCCGTAGGAAAATATGAGAGGATATGTTGAAATTCTACTGAAACTCCCCCAGTCCCTCTACACAGCTAGTCTTTTATGATAAAGACATGCTCGCTTTTCAAAACATGGTTGTTTTTAAGATTTAACGTGGTGAAATTAAACTTCTCAGGCACTGAGGAATCTGTTGGAGAACTGTATGGAGTATCCTTCCACTGTACGTGCTGCACATCTAATTTTTAGATGTCTAGAATGAACGCATTACACTTTTCTTTCTGGTAGCCACATTGATCGCCATAAAATAACCTTCTCTCTTCTTCTTCTTTCTTGCTCTCAATGTTTCCAAAATCAAGTAGTTGCGTATTACGGGCCTGGGGTCCACAGGAGTGCCCCTGAGGGGCCAAGCCTTCTGTGGTCCAGAGTTGGCTCTGGAGCTCACAGCCACCGCTCTGACCCTCTGCAGATGTCCTTTGGCCTTCTCCGTGTGTTCTCCATTGTGATCCCCTTTCTCTATGTCGGGACGCTCATTAGCAAGAACTTTGCCGCTCTACTTGAGGAGCACGACATTTTTGTTCCAGAGGATGATGACGACGATGACTAACAGGTAAGACTTCCTTTTCTCCTACGTGAACCAGGAACAGGAAGGGGTGGGGCATCTAAACTCTGATGCAGTTTGCCCTGGTAGCAGTTTCTGGTCACTTGAAACAGAAGGGCAGACCTTTAATAAATGGGCTCACTTGGCTGTTTTTATTTTGCCTTTGCTCTATGTTGATGAGAAAAACTATCTTACTGACTTAAAAATTCACTGGGATGGGGCGCCTGGGTGGCTCTGCCTTCAGCTCAGGTCAGGATCTCAGGGTCGAGATGGAGCCCCAGAGCCCCATGTCGGGCTCCCTGCTCAAGAGGGAGTCTGCTTCTTCCTCGCCCTCTGCCCCTTCCCCCCTGCTCTTGTTCTCTCTTTCTCTCAAATAAGTAAGTAAAATCTTAAAAAAAAAAAAAAATTCAATGGGATCTCTTCCAACTGGGTTGATCCTAACCAGACTTTTTGTCTTTTATGTACCCTTGTTCTCTCAACCCACAAGTTTTCTTAACAATTTAATGCCTTACACACCCGTCCCAAACAGCTTCATTCTCCACATTGAAATTTAGAAACTGCAAGTCTTCACCACGGTCAGCAATGTCACCAAACTCTGTGCCTATTCCATTCAGCTTTCTGGTGTTGGCTTCTGGTGCTCTAATACGTGCTGCTTGGCTGCCTTTCTATTGTGGTTAAGGACAGTTCCGGCTCCGGAGTCTGACATTCAAGCTTGCCATGACCTGGCCACACCTGTTATTCCAGTCTCGTCTTCCATATTCCCAACAGCACACCTATCCCCAATAGTCACCATCTCTTGAATTACCCTCATGCTTACCCACTCCCAAGCAGTGGCTCTTCCTTCCAATTGGAAGGCTATTATTTCCCACTACTCCTTTTTTTTTTTTTTTTTTTTTTTTAATTCATTTGAGAGCACAAGCAGGGAGCCCTATGCGGGGCTTGATCCCAGGACCTGGAGATCATGACCTGAGCCGAAGGCAGGCGCTTAACCATCTGAGCTACCCAGGCGCCCCTATTTCCCACTATGATGAAGTCTTCCCTCATTTCTCCATTTGAAAGTGACTGCTGTGCCCTCTGACTGACCAGTACCTCTTGTGACAGTATTATATGCTTAAGCACACAGGCACACCCCCAAATTCTACTAAGAGTTTCTTGCTGGCAAGGAACGTGGTTGTTTGTTTTTAAGTAAGCTCTACACCCAACGTGGGGCTTGAAATCACAATCCCAAGACCAAGAGTCGCATGTTCCACCAACTGAGCCAGTGAAGCGCCCCCCGGCAACATGTTTTTTATACCTTTGGGCCCCCAGTGCCTGGTCTCCGATGAATGTTCATTAAATGTGTGAATGAATAAACAAACTGCTTTGCTCCTGCCTTGTTTGGTAGAACGTCTCTGGAATGCTCTTTCTGGTATGTGGATAGAGGGCTGCTCTGAGCCCAGTTCATTGCTGCTTTCCTTTCTTACAGGACACGGAGGAGGTACAGAAAGGAGACAGCCCTAACTTAATTACGATGGTGACGCTCACAGCCTCTCCTGCTTCCCTATCAGAAGGGCCCAGGGAAAGCCCTCAGCCTCCCAACACCAGTGAAGCCTCCTGCACCATCTGTGACCATAGCCCAGATCCCCAGGCTCTGGGAGGTTCCCAGAAATGTGCCGTCCACTGAGCACAATCAGCTTATGAATAAACATGATAAACATCAGCTCTGTATGACTGCGTGGTGGCTGAAGTGTCTCAATAGGAGTGACCCCAGCTGCAGTTTCTTGTCGCTGTAGTCCTTTCTCGAGCAGCTGAATGGAACAGGCCTTTGACTTACAGCCCAAGATTTCCAGGCCGCCCCCCCGCCCCGGATGCACAAAGGCAGTTACAGGCACCTGGGACTTATTTTTATTATTTACAAAAGCCCAACAGAAACTTTCCCCTCAGTAAAGATGCACAGGATAACTAAAGCCTCAAGCTTTTTTTGTGTTGAGGAACACTGGCGAGTTATTATATTACCAGTCATAAGCTGTGACTGCTTAAAACTCCTTGAGAAACATTGTTATTAGAATGAATCTGTCAACACTTGGGTTCCTTAGAGGAAAAGATAGTAAAGGGGTTGGTGGTGCAGAAAAATATGGGAATGCTCAGGGTGACTACCTACAGATCCCGAACCCCTCTCTCCAGCATTTAGACTGCCTGGGGAGAGAACCATCGAGAGCAGAGATGAGTTCTTTAACCTGTGTCGACATTTATTCCCCTGTCACTGGAGCTATAGCCCGGTTTGCACAAACAGAGATATTTCTGTTCTGTGTGCACTAAACAACAGTGTTCCTAGCAGAGTACCTAACTGGGTAGGAAGTTAATTTCATTCAGGACATGCTTGTTGCAGGTAGATAGGCTAGGCCTCTTCAGAACCCAGGGAGGAACGGCCCAGCTTGGCAGCTGTACTTCTGTGCCTCCTAGTGTTGCTCTCATCTCTGACAGTAAGCACTGGCTAATTCTGGATAATCTGTGCTGTGACACCAAGCAAATCCTGGAGGCTGTAGAAACACGGCTAAATTGGGGAGCCTGGGTGGCTCAGTGGGTGAAGCATCCAACTCCTGACTTCAGCTCAGGTTGTGATCTCAGAGTCGGGAGATCGAGCCCCGAGTGGGGCCCTGCGCTGGGCGTGCAGCCTGCTTAAGATTCTCTCTCTCCCTCCGACCCTCTCCCCACCCTCTCTCTCTCTCTCCCTCAACAAAGTCATCCAGCCTGATAGCCACAATGATACTTTCTGAGCAGATGGCCTCCTCCTTCCTGTTTACTGACATGCAAAGCTCTGAGAAAAGAGAATCTAATTTACAGGAAACACCACACTTCAGGAAAGGGAAAGAACAGGTGGTGTGTATACTAAGACCCCACTTGTTCAGGCAAAAAGTGAGACAGACTGCAGAAGAGGAACTTCCCACTGGCTCACCAATGGAATTCTATTAGGAAGTGACCATCACGTACTGAGTTTATTTGTGCTCTAAAATATTTAAATATCAACATGCACCTTTTCCCTGAGTGACTTCACGGGTCATGGCCAACATAGAACTTGGAAAGGAAATCCTTTGGCCTCGGCGCTTCTGTTTCATGGAAGAACCGCATGATGTGTGTCCGCTGCTTCCATACGTTAATCGTTTCCTCCAGTTCCATCTTTCCCTGCACAAGTGAGGGGAGAGGTGTTCAGTCAGAGTGGCCAAGGGGAAGGAACACGACACTGAAGGCCCAGATTCTGGTCTCTGCTCTGGCACCAACTTATTGAGTCACCTGGGGCAGGTAACATCCTCTGTCAGGACCACAGTTTCTGCATCTGGAAAATGAAGTGGTTGGGCTAACTGATCTCTGCGGCCTTTCAAATACTTTTTAACTCTGTAGCTAACTGATCCCAAGAGGAGAGACTTCCAGGTCAATAGGCCCCTGCCCCATGACTGCCTAACCTAACTGGCTTAACTTGGTTTCTGCTAAACATTCCTCCCGTGGTACGTACTGGTCCACGCTAAAGTTCGCACTGATGCTAATGTGACTGACCAGAGATAACACAATCAGGCCTGGGATTTGATCCCATTTACACAGGACTCGGCTAACCAGCCTGCCTCTTCCAGCTGCAATCTGGTAAAGCAGTAACTTCTAGGAATGAGGTTCAAGAATTTCAAAACTTCCTCATGTCTTTTTTCAAAATACAAGTCCTGGGGCGCCTGTATGGCTCAGCTGGTTAAGTGTCTGCCTTCGGCTCAGGTCGTGATCTCAGGATCCTGGGATCGAACCCCGTGTTGGGCTCTGTGCTCACAGGGAGTCTGCTTCTCCCTCTCCCTCGGCCCCTCTCCCTGCTCATGTGCGCGCACTGTCTCTCAAATAATAAAATCTTTAAAAAAAAAAATAAAAATGCAAGCCCCAATGGGTTTGGTTTTTTTTTTTTAAACAATCTTATATTTAATCAGGTGATAACCTCTAAGTTCATCTGTTTCTTTGAAACACTAAGCAGAAGTTACTGACCTAGTAGTTGCTTTTTAAACTTGGGAGACAAAATTGAGAAGCTCTGGACAAGTTGGCTGCTCTTAAGTCAGTCAGGGGGGGTCAATTACCTTAATAACCAAAAGATCCACCACCCTGGGGTCTGTGACGTGGGCATTCTTCATAAACATTTCTCGGACTTTATCCCGTCCTTGCTTCACGGTGATGTCTAGCTGGAACAAGTTCACTAAAGAGAAAACATGATTCAGGGTAGAAATTACATGGTTAAAACCTGTTTTACAAAAATTGAGTCAATTGATAGTCATTGAACACATAACAGGTTGCCCATTCATTTCATTCAGCAAATATTACTAGCCTGACCCTAAGCTAGGTGCTTACGGCTGTAGAGGGAGACGTGGCGCCTGCTCTCAAGGAGCTTATAGTTTGTTTGAAGAGACAAGACCGTCGTATCTGAAGAGGAGTATAGCACAGTTCAAGGGTATGAACAACCTGGCTTCAAATCCCAGCTGTCACATCACCCATGTGATCCTGCGGACTTCTCTGTGCCGGAGTGTATTTGTTTCTGAGGGAAAGGAGGATGATAACAGCACATAACTCCTGAGCTGTTGGGAGGATTCCATGAGACAAGATGCTTAGAACAGTGCCAGCATGGAATAAGCTCTCAAAAATGTGAGCATTATCATCATATAGAACTGGCAAAAGATGACAGGGTTGAAATTAACAAGCAACGATGTGGTGTAGGTGTGTGCGGCACACAAACTTAGGGTTGAGGGAGACTGCTGAGTGTGCAGGGAAGGAAGGTTTCAGTCCAGCCAGCGATTACGGCCACGTCAGGTTACTCGGGGGAAGGAGGGAGCAGTCTACAATGTAACTCCTCTATTCTCTCAAATTCTGTTCTGAGGGGCAACCATCCACAAATGCAAACATAAAATCACAATATTCAGCAATCCCTGGCTAAGCAGATGCCTAAAAGAGTGGCACAGCCTTAGGGACCCAGCACTTCATATGAGGCACATGTCCTTTGCAAATTAGGTTTTAGTCATTTGTATTCCCATCCTCTGGTAGTCAGCCTTCAGTGGATTTGCTGATGACAACGAGGGCACGAACAGGGCCTTGTGTGGTAGGCGGGATTAGGAAGACGGGGTACATTAGGCTGAGGGGACAGCATAAACAAGGCTCACAGGCTAGAATGAGCATGTGGCTGGGGAGACCTGTGTGCTCATTTGGTGAGGACGCCCTGTGTTTTGGCCATTCTTGTGACATGTCCACTCTCGTCTACAGAATTATCAGAACGTCTGAACACCACGAGAGCTATGGAGTGACTGAATGAATCGACAATAAAGTTCGAATCTATACTCGATTTAGTGACCAATAGAAAAATAAAGCCTCTGCTGAGGAAAATACCATGCCGTGCTGATCCCAGCAGGGAATAAGCAACAGCAGAAATCTAACAGGAGAAACCGCAGCCCAGCTTTACAGGTAAGTGTTAACAGGGGCCAGAAAATCACTCACACTGGAAAGAACTCAGGATCCAGTGGAATGCTGGAGCAGACTCTCATGGAGCCTCTCTTCCCAAATCTGCCTTCACTGACTTCACTTTGGTAGCTTAAAATCAACCATGGTGGGAGTACCAGCCCCCGGAAGATTGGTCAAAGCTGTAAATCTGGGTTCCCACCACAGTCCGTGTCATAATAGGGATTTTATTTTTTATTTTAGAAAGAGAGAGAGCAGGGGGAGGCGCAGAGGGAGAGGGGAAGCAGACCCCCCACTGAGCGGGAAGCCTTATACGAGGGCTTGATCCCACAACCCCGAGATCTTGATGAAACCAAGAGTCAGACGCCAGGTGTCCCTCATTGTAGGAATTTTAGAAAAGAGCAAACAAAGGGACAATAAGACAAAGAGACACAAAAACAAGTGCAAACTAACAAGGATCCTGGAATTTAGAACCCTCCCATTTGGGGGGAGTGAGGCCTCCCGCACTGTGGGTACTTGCCTGAGGTCATACTATTGCTCCCTGGGAAGTGTGGGCCTGGAATTCAGGTTGTTTATTTTTAATTTCCAATCTGATGCTTTTTGAAGGAAATGACTATAAGGACTCTTCTCCTGCTATCAGTGCTTACCTTTCCTGCATTTTTATATTAGATCCCTGCCCAACCTTGGGAGTTTAAAAAAAACAAGGTCCCTCTATACTAGGGGAGCTGGTGCCCATTTGCTCCCATTCCTCATGATTTCCAGAACTACACACCAGGGCGCTGGGTGTACAAGTCTTCTCCTCAGGAAAATGTTCGCAGGCACATATGCAAAGTTTTGCTTACAGTGTCAGTTCACAGATTCCTGAATGCCCATCCTCCCGGTTAAGAGCCCTTGTCTCTAGAGAGACAAATTCCATAGCTTTGTCTTAGTCTCCCTCCTCCCACCCCAACCCTCGGAACATGCCCCTCCTCCAGTGAGAAAGGCTGTGGGAAGGCAAACAGGAACAGCCTAAGCTATCACCTGCTTTGCTTTAACTCGGTGGTTCTTAAACCAGCACTGATTGTGCCACCAGAATATCTGGCAATGTGTGGAGGCATTCTGGGTTGTCACAACTAGGGGAGAGTGCTACTGGCATCTAGTGGGCAGGGGCCAGGGATGTTGTTAAACATCCTACGATGCACAGGACCGCCCCCACAATTATCCAGCACAGATGTGTTGAGAAACCCTGGTATAAATTAATTCCAACTGCTTTTTCTCAACTCAGTTTCTTGGCTTATTCTTTGAATTCTGAATATTTAAATTGCAATTTTGAAAAAATCTAAGAGGCTCAAAAGGAAGGTATCAAAGTGCCCCTCTTGGATGAAGGTGCCTTTCCCACAGGCTCTGCGTGTTTTTCCAAAATTACTGTCAAAGTTTTCCTGAGTCAGAAAGGCTCTGACACATTAAGAGGGATGCCACTGATATCCTCAGCTGTTTGCTCCCATTCACTTTGGGAGCATTCATACCAGGCACTGGGAGATCCTGAGATGGGAAAGCGGCATGGTGTACTGGAGAAGAGCATGGGGTCAGAGGTCAAAGCAGCTGGGTAAGGTCCCCTCACCATTATGAACTATGACCTTGACTAGGGTACAGCCTCCTCAGCTAAAAAATAGGAAAGAAAAGAACCTCAGACCTAATTCCTTTATAGGAACATGGCAAAAATCGAGTGACAACATCTTGTAAACAGTAAGGCGACTATAAACGTTGAACATCTCAACACTTACTCCCCATACATCGATTTTAAGTTTTAATGGTCTGGATATATGCCTATCTTCCTGACTAAACCATAAGGCCCCTGAGGGCAGGGTTGTTTTATTCACTTTTGTATCTCTGGGCATCTCGTACCAGCCCTGTTGTACAAGAGATAGCCAGTGAAATGGAAATTAAATGAATAGTTTCAACAGAAAATCTCCTGTTTTGTAACCAGCAAGCCTCATGTAATATTTTTTCAGTGGAGGGAGTCGAAGGAAGGCAGTTCTGTCTCTGTGCTCCTGTGCAAGGCAGCCACCACCCAGGCAAATGGCTGCTATACACGTGCAGGGTCACTGGGTCCCATGAGATTCGGGGGAAAACTCGAGCAGGAGCCAAGAGCCAGGTGTAACAGCTGGATAGTCAGGGTCTGAAGGGTGGCTCCTCTCCTTACTAACGGTGTGATGAGACACATTTACATGCCTCAGTTTTCTTATCTGTAAGACAAGGACACAATTAGAACCCACCCTCAAATAAGGCAGTGTAAAGCATTTAGCATAGTGCTGGGCCATATGTATGCAATTCAAAAAATGTCAGTTATTAGGGGCGCCTGGGTGGCTCAGTCGTTGGGCATCTGCCTTCAGTGCAGGTCAGGATCCCAGGGTCCTGGGATCGAGCCCCGTGTCGGGCTCCCTGCTCGGAGGCCTGCTTCCCCCTCTCCCACTCCCCCTGCTTGTGTTCCCTCTCTCGCTGTCTCTCTGTCAAATAAGTAAATAAATAAAATCTTAAAAAAAAATAATAAATGTTAGTTATTAAAAATACTATTACTATTCCCAATTCTTGGTTTGGTTCCTCAGCTGGAGTCCCAACGATAGATAGCATGACACCAGCATAGACACAGGCCTGAGCAACTGACCACCTACAGACGACCAGCTACAGACCACCAATCCTCCCCAGGGATGTTGTTAAACATCCTACAATGCAGAGTTGAGAAAAAGCAGTTGGAATTAATTTATACCAGGGAGGTACCACCCCTCTGACCCTCCCCGCCCCCACCCCTTGATCCCACAACCCCGAGATTCCTTTCAGGACCCTTCTGTCTCTGGAATGATCTTCTCAAACAGTATTTGAGGGGAATTCCTGAGAGGGGATAGTTTAAAAACTTCTGGGTCCTGACTGTGGATAACTCGGTCTATCCTCAACTCAGCCACTGATTTTTTTTTTTAACCCTTTGCAAACCATTCTTCCTGCATCTGGGTCTTGTTCCCTACCTCCTACTCCTCTCTGCAACAAGAAAGCGTTCTGGGCACTCATAGCAGTAGTCTGCTAGGCAAGCATTCTCTTTTTAAAACATCCCCAATTGAATACACCCCCCTCCCCTGCCCCAAACACACAAACGGCAGACACTTGCTACTGTCACTTCCCTATACCTATTATCCACCTGTCCCCTGAAGGCATTTAAGTTTGCAGTCCCTGAACCAGCAGTTCACTTAAGTTTCTCCCTCCCTTGTATCCCGGGGTCTAAGCTCTGGTCATGAGCAACCTCTCAGCAAGTCAGGTTCAGGATAGGGGCACTGTGGAGCAGACAGTTCTCATACATCAAAAAAACTGGATTCTGCATGGATGCTCCTGCTATAAGTAACAGTAATAATTAATAATAATCATCATAATAAAAACAACAGTAGCAGCCAACATTCAGTGAGTACCTAATGAAGTGCCAGGGCTTACCCTCAGCACTTTAGAAATATTACCGATTTAATAAGGGCTACTCTCTGAAGAAGGTACTATCATGATGCTCATTTTACAGATGAGGAAACTGAGGCATAGCAAGATAAAATAATTTGCTCAAGGTCACACAGCTAGTAAGGGGGCAAGGTCTGGAGGCAAGCCTCTGTAACTACCACATTCTATTGCTTCTCACACGCAGGCAGGGAAGTGACAGCCCCGAGGGGAGCTATGGTGCTCTAGCTCACTTTAAAAACACCTTCCCTCTGAGACGCGCACTGACAGTCCACGTTCAAACACAATCAACAAAACAACAAAATATCAACAGCCCCTGACATTTGTAGGGTCCTTGACAGTTTAGGTGGGATTTCCCTCCAATCTTCCTCTCGTCAGAGCCATTGGGCAGTGCTGGCGGGGAATGCCAATATAAGAAAACAGAATCTCCGCATCCAGGGACCTTGTATTTCAGTCCTTCCAGTGGACAGATTGGTTCCTGGACATCTAAGTGAAGGCAGGGGACAGGGAGACAGTAGCGGGCAGGCCATTAGGGGGGAGGGGATGAGTTCCTAAGAAACAGGAGAGACAGGTAGAGCTAGGGAGCAAGCTTGGGAAACCGGACCTGGGAGGAGGCCATCTCACCTGGACTGGAAAAAGGCCCCACGGACTTAACTGGAGGACCTTGGGAAAGTCACTTCCCTTCTCTGGCGGTCTGTTTGTGGGAGATGTGGGAAACAGATGATCGCTCAAGTCCTGCCGCCACTTCGTTTACACAACCTAATGGGCACCTGTAAATACATTCAGGAACTCTACGGCTGACTTTGGGTTCCGGATCCATCCAGGGCGGGCTCTGGGCCTCGGGGGCATCACCTCGCCTCTAGGTGCCTCACAGGCCTCACCTATAAAATGAGCACGTCACCCACAGTCCCTGCTCTCCCTCCCACGGGTTCGTTAAGAACTGCGGGGGACAGAAGGGCCAACGCGCCCAGGGCTCCCAGAAGCTTGGTTCGGGGGCAGGGCACGGCTCGAGGCTGGCGCCGCCGCCGGGTCGGGTCCACCAATGCTCGGCTGGCCCTCCTCCCCTGAAGCACCCGGAGTCGCCTGTGCCCAAGGCGGTGACCTCAGCTCGTCCCGGGAGAAATGGGAGGCCAGGACGGCTGCGACCCTGGGCGGCTGCGTCCGGAGCCCCGCGTGCGCCGCGGCCTCTCACCGGTGTTCGGCACCTCGCGATACCAGGCGCGGTACAACTCGCGCACCCTCCGCTTGGCTTCGTTCATGTCCCGACTGAAAATGGGCTTCACCGACGTGGGAGCCGCAGCAGCGGCCCGCCGGAGGCCGCTCGCCGCCATCTTGCTAAAGAAACCACCTTCCGCTAGGGCGGCTGAAGGGCGAAAGCCTTTTGTCATTGGCTAAAACCGAAAGCCACGCCCCTTGGCGCCACGGGTAGGCGGGAGGATAGCTGTGGGGCTCTCTGAATGGCTTGGAGGCCTCCGTCTCTGGGTGGGAACGGCCGCTGGGGGCTGCGCATGCCCAGGTGCGGAAACCCCTGCTCAGCCGTTGGCGGGCCTAACCGTGCCCCAACCGTGCCGCCAGGGGACGCTCGAGCGCCAGACTGGCCGCGGAGCAGCTTCCTGGCGTCCCCCAGCGTCCCGCCGGCCACCTGCTCGCCGCGCTCCTTTGGTTGCGCCCCTGGGCGCGCGGGCCTCGCAGAGCTTCGCGGCTCGTTTTCGCCGGGCGGGGGCCGCGGGTCCCCAGGAGCGGCGGAAGCCCCTCTTGGCGCCTGGGCTTCCTTGGCGCTGGCCTGGCCCCTTGTGTGATTTTTCTGCTGCCACGTTTTTTTCTTTATTTCCCCAGTAAACCAACTCTTCGGGAGCGCTGTGTAGCTGCCAAAGCGCTTTCCTGGCTGTTGGCTTCCTGGCGCTTCTCCACATCCCGGGGAGGTAGGTTCTATCATCAGCCCCGTTTTAGACAAGAACGTGTGCATCCTAACCTGTGGCTCTCTGAAAAGCAGCCCAGAAATGTGGAGCTGGAAGGAGCCTTGCATCGACCGTCCCGGGTACCCCCTCCGTTGCTGGCATTTTTCTGCTGAGGCATTTTGCTGGCATTTTCTGCTGAGGTTGCCTCTGACCATGGGCTGCTAAGGGAGAAATAACCGCTAACGCAGGGCAGGCCGCGCACTAGGCTCGCTAGACCATTTTACCTGGTCTTTAATCTCATGGATCAGAGAGGTTCTGTTAGCCCCCCAGGAGACAGGCGGTGTAGGGTCCAGGCACATGAACACATGCATCACAACACACCTGTGGGATAAGCACCGTTAGACACATTTTACAGATGAGAAAACAGACACAGAGAGACAAAGTTACTTGACAGGGTTGGCTTGAGACTCAGGTAGCTGGCCCTGGAGTCTGTGCTCCACCTCTCACAGCGCCTACATCATCACATCTAATTCTAACCCCCTACACGCTCCTGCCTCCTCCAGGAGTAACCACTATCATGAATTTAGTGTTTAACATTCCTTTTCATTGAAAAAAAAATGGCCTCCAAAACAACTCACAAACTGGGAGAAAATATTTGCAAATCATATATTCCATAAAGTATTTGTATTTAGAATATATCAAAGACTCTTACAACTCAGTAATAAAAAGACAAATAGCCCAATTTAAAAACAAGCAAAGATGGGGCGGGCACCTGGCTGGCTCAGTCGGTAGAACATCTGACTCCTGATCTCAGGGCCACGAGTCCAAGTCCCGTGTTGGGCGTGGAGCCTAGTTTAAAAAAAAAAAAAAAGCAAAGGTGACAAACCCAATGGCAGGAACTCTCACTGCTGGTGAGAATGAAGAATCAGCCACTTTGGAAGTCAGTTTGGCAATTTCTTAACAGAACTAAACATGCTCTTCCCATATGATCCAGCAATCACTTTCCTTAGTCTTCACCCAAATGAGTTGAAGACTTTTATTCACCCAAAAACCTGCACACGGATATTTATAGCAGCTTTATTCATAGTTGCCAAAACTTGGAAGCAACCAAGATGTCCTTCAGGAGGTGAATGGATAAATAAACTTTTGTATATCCACACAATGGAATATTCTTTAGCATTAGAAAGATATGAGCTGGGCGCCTGGGTGGCTCAGTCGTTAAGCGTCTGCCTTCGGCTCAGGTCATGATCCCAGGGTCCTGGGATCGAGTCCCGCATCGGGCTCCCTGCTCCTTGGGAGCCTGCTTCTGCCTCTCCCTCTCTGCCTCTCATGAATAAATAAATAAAATCTTAAAAAAAAAAAAAAAAGATATGAGCTATCAAGCCATGAAAAGACGTGGGGGGGGGGGCGCCTGGATGGCGCGTGGGCTGAGCAGCCCACTCTTGGTTTCGGCTCCAGTCTTGATCTCAGGGTGCTGGGATGGAGCCCCAAGTTGGGCTCCATGCTCAGTGTGGAGTCTGTTTAAGACTCTCCCTCTCTCTCCCCCTCCCCCACTAAAATCAATCAAAAAATCTTTAAAAAAAAAGACATGGAGGAAAGTTAAATGGATATTACTAAGTGAAAAAAGCCGATGTGAAAAGGCTGTATGCAGTATAATTCTAGTTCTATGGCATAACAGAAAAAGACAAAACTGTGGAGACAATAAAAAGATCATTGATTGCTAGGGGCTGGGGGGAGGGAGCAAGGAATGAATAGACTGTGTGATACTATAGTGGTTGATACCTGTTATTATACGTTTGTCCAAACCCATAGAGTGAACCCTGTTGTAAACTATGGGCTTTGGATGACAGTGGTGTGTCAATGGGGGTTCATCACTTGTAACAAATGCACCACTGGTGGAGGGGGATATTGATAACAGGGGAGTCTGGGGTTGGGGGGTAAGGGTATATAGGAAATCTCTGTACATTCCACTCAATTATGCTGTGAACCTAAAACTGTTCTAAAAAATAAAGTCTATTTTTTTAATGGGCAAAGGATTTGAATAGCTTTTTCTCCAAAGAAGATATACAGTGACCAATAAATACATGAAAAGACACTCAACATGGTTAGTCATTAGGTAAATGCAAATCAAAACCATAACAAGATACCATTTCTCGCCTACTGGAATCCTGGAATAAAAAGACAATAGTCAGTGTTGGTGAGGATGTGGAGAAATTGGAACTCTCATACACGGCTGGTGGGAACGCAAAATGATGCAGCCTCTTCGGAAAACAGCCTGGCAGTTTCTTAAAAACTCCAGTCCTAAGTATCTACCCAGAAGAAATGAAAACATTTGTCCATATGCAAATGTTCATAGCAGCATTGTTCACAGCAACCAAAAAGTAGAAACAACCCAAAAGTCCAGCAACTGATGGATTAAAAAAAAAAAGTGGTTAAAAGTGTGGGATATATCCATACAATGGAATGCTCTTCAGCTATGATGAACCTCGAAAACATTATGCTAAATGAAAAAAGCTAGATGCAAAAAACATATTGTATGATTTCATTTATATGAAGGGTTCAGAAAAGGCAAATCTACACAGATGAGTGGGTTAAGTGGGAATGCAGAGTGCATATAGCATGAGGTTTCTGGGTTTTTTTATTTATTTAAATTCAATAAGCCAACATATAGTACATCATTAGTCTCAGATGTAGTGTTCAGTAATTTATCATTTGCATTTCTGTTTAGGCGGAGGGAGATGCTCTGAAATTAGTTTGTGGTATAGCGTACAACTTTGCAAATGGACTAAAGTCCATTGAATTGTACACTTAAAATGAGTGAAGGATAAATTTTATGTTATGTAAATTATATCTCAATCAAGCTATTGGGAAAAATGGCCTCGGATGATTTTTCAAATGTGTGAAGTCCAGTGTATTTTAATAATGCCTTCTTGCTCTCTCTGCCTTAAAGAAAGAAAAAAAAACCCTATTTGTCTCTGTTAAAAACAATGATTTTAGAAAATTGGGAAAGATTAGCACAGTACAGAAGATAAATATGCTCTATAGAATTAGAAGCAAAGTAGTATATAGTGAAAAGATTTTGTCAGTTCCTGATACCAGTTACAAGCTGTATGTCAAGTTACCTTTCCCCCATGAACTTTGGTTTCCACATCTGTAAAATGGGGATAATAGTGGCTACCACACAGGGGTTGTGAGGATTAAATGAGGTAATGTATGTAATGTGAAGTGCCTAGAAGATGTTTGGTGCACACAGATGTTTGTTAAGTGTCTACTAAACAGATTATGAGAATCCTGTTAACTTTCTTTAGCCTCAATCCGTATAACATGTTACACAGAGTAGATCCTAGTGATCAAGAGCCAGTGAAGGGTGGCAGTCTTGTGGGAGAGGGGGTGGAGTTTATCCAGGGTATTTTCTTGATCCTATGTTTGCATCTAAGACCCTATTTTTTTACTTACATTGTACATTATGCCCCAAATTAAGAAAATGTCAATATTCTGTAACAAAGAATGTTACTCTATTGGGGGGAGGGTGTTGATATAGATGTGGGTTAAAGGCTAACCACTACCCCCAGCCCCTCTTGCCAGTGTCCTTGGTACCCAGTGAATGTTACATTGAGTCAAATTGAAGCCGTCGACATTTATGAGACTTGTTCAGTTGATAGTGGAGTGAGAACTAGCTCCCCAAATTTCTTATTCAGTGTTTTTCGTCCACTCCCTCCCTCTCTCACCCCAGTTGGAGTCCCCAGATGGAGGCAAAACCAGGAACTGATTCATCAGGGTCCAGAAACACAGCCATGCAGTGCCTCCGGCTCGGCCTTTTCTTTCTGGTCCCTATGGGGAAGGGAAAGCGGCTTTTATCATTTTCCCTGTGTTATACCACACATTTTAAAGTAAATTGTAGATTCATATGTATAAGAAATAAAACAGAAAGGTCAGGTGTGCCCTTTACTCAGTTTTTCCCAATGGTAGCATACTGTAAAATGATAGTAACAATAGAACCACCAGAATATTGACATTGATACAATCGAGATACAGAACATTCCCATTACAAGGATCCCTCGTGTTTCCCTTCCCCCAACCCCTTCTTAGTCCCTGATAAAGGGACTCCATTTTGTCATTTCAAGAATGTTATACTTTTGGGCGCCTGGGTGGCTCAGTTGGTTAAGCGACTGCCTTCGGCTCAGGTCATGATCCTGGAGTCCCGGGATCGAGTCCCGCATCGGGCTCCCTGCTCGGTGAGGATCCTGCTTCTCCCTCTGACCCTCTCCCCTCTCATGTGCTCTCTCTC